GAACACAAGTATACCAATATGCATTCCAACTGCAATTTCTATATATATATATATCTGAAAGGGAATACAATTTTCTGACATTTAAATTGGATGAAACAAAAAATAAAAATAAATATATTTATAAATCAGAGAAACAGGGTAGTGAAAATATGAACAAAAGTGAAAAATAGTTTTTAAAATCATGTTATATGAATATCTTGAAGTAATTTGATCAATACAGAGTGTATATAATTGGGAACAACTCACTCAAACACGGTGGATATCAATTTGTCATACACTAAAATGTAATGGATTTCCTGTTTCCTACTAAGCCCTGTTACCCTAGGGCTGTAATAAAATATATTATGGATGTTATGTTGTTAAAGGTCTTCCCTAAAAGTTTTCAAAATGATATGTTAGTCATTTTGGGTGTTGAGTGATTGGGAGACTTGACTGACAGCACATCACGGTGATATTACTGATTTGACCATTTTGAAATTCCCATATGAAAAGTGATTACATCTTTAAACAAATTTGTTTATGTATCCATCCTGAGTCATACTTTGTTTTAAATTGAAACTTTAGTCATATTGTTTGTTGGAACAGATTGGAAACTTTCACTAGCATGCTTCTATGATTTTTCTGCTTTCTTCTTGAGTTGTTTGCTATCGAGGTTGGATTTCCCTTTCATGATTAAGTTGTTATACCTTAGTGAGATCATATGAATAGCGCCATCTCATGCTCATAGATGCTCAAACTTTACATGAGCTCCATATCTGTAATCAATATTAAATTGTTTGTCATATAGTAGACTTTTATATAAATGGAAAATGAGAAAGTGAAAAATTGCTGGAAATGACATTGACTGAAGAACACATAGCACATGTCAAATCTATGTGTGGTTTGGTTTCTTACAAATTTGTTTTCATCGAATCAAACCAATGAGTGATTACTTACAACCCAGCTTTAGTCTGTTTATCCGCCTTCACAGTATTTACTGATTGCACCTTTAGAAATAATTAAATTGGCATTGCTAGATGCTGGGTAGTGCTTTGATGAGACTTTTGTTGGATGATAGAACTTTTCAAGTCTATACAGGAGGGGATGAGGGTGGGGTTTTAGTCATAGGGGAATTACTTCATCTCACCTTCTCTTTTTTTTTTGTCAGAGATATTTTGGAATTATTGGTCCCCTCCCCATCTTTATGTTGAAGCTTAATACCTTTTTTTGCTTGTCAGACATTTTTATGTAAATCAATAACTCTGTAATTTTGTTGTTGGGGGGGGGGGGCTCCATTCCACCAGAGCCCCCCCCCCCCCCTCTCCTCGCCCCACTCTGGACAGGCCCCTATACATGATGAGTTCTGATATGAATATATCTACTTGAAATGTTAGTTGCTAGGCAAGTACAGTATGAACAGTGCTCTCAGTGTGAAGCTAATGATAGTATGAACAGTGCTCACAGTGTGAAGCTAATGATAGTATGAACAGTGCTCCCAGTGTGAAGCCAATGATATCAGCTGTGTTTCAGAGAATTATTTGTTTGTGGTTACAAGAAGTGATGTGCTGGGACTAACACATGTCTTGTACATCACAATATCTGTCATGTATCAGCATGCCTGCTATTCATTCATATCAAATGATAGAAAAATGATCTGGAGCAGGAAAAAAGAATATGAAGTACAATGTATGTCTGGTTTGTGCATGGTCTATAAGTGCATTAATTATCATGAAGAGTTGTCTCCTACTAAAGTCCGCGGACTTCTGATTTTCATGAATGCTAAAAGGAGACATCCCAGGTATCTGTTTTGTTAAGATGGACTTCATTGAAATTTCTTTGAAGTTACTTTTATTCTACATAAGAATAAAAAAAAAAGTGAGAGTTATCTGGGAGGACAGATTTATTCTACTTTAAAATTCTCTCACACTATTTTGGCGGTCTTTTTTAGCAGTTGGGTGTGGGAGCAATGTGGTATAATGGTGAAGTTTCTTTACTCTTGCTATGAAAGCAGAACAATAATATAAACAGAATTGTGAAAGCTTGTATTTAAATAAATCGGATCAATAATAAGGAAGTTCTAAATGAATGTTTGACTTTGAATGTTTAGTATTACACTGTCAAATCAGAGTCTTTTGTTGCAGACTATGTTTATGAGAGTTCAAAATGGCCGACTGTACTCTACAACACCCTCTCTCACTTCGGTTTCTAGCTTCCCTTTTCTCACTCTAACTGTGAAAGAAAGTCCAACGAGGTGATTCATGGTAGAGGTATTGTTTGAATATGAAACCTGACCCAGAGCAACTTCACTTTCCTTTAACTCCCTCAGGTTTTTCATAGGTCTTTGTGCTCATTCACACCACTTTCAATATTTTTGTTTTGGGGCATTTAACAAAATATAAGAATGGATTAGCTTGAACTAATACAAAAAGTTGAGAGAGAAAGTGACCTTCAGTGAATTCCAAGAAAGTGTGAATAATTAACAGACGGGTTTGAAGAGAACTGGGAAATATGAGGTTCAATTCAAGAAAGGAAAGATGATTTTATTGCTGGAAATATGCAAAACGAAGGATTTAGATATGACAACCATTTTATATATAACTAACCAACTGGGCCTGTGAAAATCATAGGCCTACACAGTATGATAACTTTATATTCTTGATTTGGTGTTATATGACCAGGTGAAGCGGGGCATGTTTTGTTTACTCCTATACTATCCTCCCTCCATTGATTGAGTCTGAAAGTAAAGGCCAAGAAAATATCCATTCTTAACAAATGTTTAAATATCAATTCAGGCCTTTTTTTTCTCAACCCCACCTCCAAGACCACATGGGCTCATTCGTTAAAGGGCAATCAAACCTTTGTAATGAGCTCATTTGTATGAAAGCAGAAAAAATAAAAGAAACGGAATGGAGAAAGTTTGAAATAAATTAGACCAATAACAAGAAAGTTATTAATAGTTGAAATATGAGATCACTAAATCTGAATAGAATGTGATATATGCAGGGAAAAACTCTCCTGGTTGTCATATGAAAAATATCACTAAATTCTATTTTTTCTAAAGGGCTTTCTCCCTAGGGCCATTACTCAAAACATATTCTGGATAGCATATTATTACAAGTAATCTAAAAACAAAAGGCCCTCCTGAGTCATACTTTTTGAATCGCTAACATTTTAGTATCTTGGAACAAATGGGAAAGTAGTCCAGCACTTTGAGCATCGTTTCAGATGAAAACTCAATAGAGAATCAGGGTCCCGTTGTGGTCTGAATGAGCGACATATCTAACAAAAATTGTATGGCTTCGCGGAGCATATCGAGAAGTGAGGTAGGCGGAGAGAAAGACCGGCAGATAGAGAGACAGAGAGAGAGAGATAAGAGAGATAGAGGGAGGGAAAGTAAAGGGACAAAGAGGGAGAGAGAGAGAGAGAGAGAGAGAGAGAGGGAGGGAGGGTGTATAGGATGGGATGGAGGGAGAGGGTAAAGAATGGTAACTCACTTTGGTTGTTCGACAAGTGAAGTGAAGTAGACAGAGAGAGAGAGATTTGAAAGAGAGAGAGAGAGAGAGAGAGAGAGATTTGAAAGAGAGAGAGAGAGAGAGATAAGGAGAAAGAGAGAGGGGGTATAGAGAATGAGGGAGGGCGGGAGGGAGAGGGTAGAGAATGGTAACTCAATTTGGTTATTTGACAAGTGAAGTGTGGTAGACAGAGAGAGAGAGAGAGTGTGTGTGTGGGAGAGAGAGTGGAGAGTGAGTGGAGAGTAAGATAGAGGGGAAGAAAGAGAGAGAGAGAGAGATAAGGAGAGAGAGAGAGAGAGGTCGGGAGGGAGAGGGTAGAGACTGGTAACTCAATTTAGTCGTTTGACAAGGAAAGTGAGATAGATGATGAGAGAGAGAGGTGAAAAAAGAGAGAGAGAGAGAGAGAGAAGGAGAAAGAGAGAGGGGGGTAGAGAGTGAGGGAGGGCGGGAGGTAGAGGGTAGAGAATGGTAACTCAATTTGGTTGTATGACAGGTGAAGGAGATGGAGTGTAGGTCACTGTTGAAAGCAGCTTGTTATGCTCTGCTGCATGCGATCATTCTATTCTGTGCTATGTTTGGATGGGACGGATGGTATAAGGAGAACTGGTATAATATGAATTGGATGATGAGTTACAGATGAAGCAGATGATTCAGTCGTGTTTCATGTCACGTTCCGTTCTCTGGTGTTGTTTGGGAGCTGACTGACGTATTCTTTGATGTTAATTTTTTATATGAACTCAACTACTGTTTCATCTTGTGTGCCCCTTCCAGTTCTTGATTCCATTCTCTGGATAACACACTTGTGAGAGCTGAGCCTATGTTCATCAAAAGTTTGTGACTGACAGTTGGTAGCTGATGTATAGATATCATTGATAGACAGAGGCGGCAAGAGAAAAACCATTTCACTGATGTTGATAAAGGTCCTTGTTCTGTGAGAGATATTTATTCTACTTCTGATGTACTCTGTTAGAGAAATCCACAATCATCCACCCAGAACATTCCATCACATTCATTCATTCAGGAGAACTTCATACAGCCTCTTCTATTTAAAAACTATTGCTTTTTATTTTCGTCATCAAAGTTTCTACAACCGTTAATAAGTGACCCTTGGGAATAATCAAGCTTTCTTCGTTTCATACAGCTAGGAATTATTTCAACTTATGGACTTGTAGTTGATAACAAGTTTCTACATCTGACTCAATGAATTATTGTACTTGATCCATTTCAATCAGAAATGTGAAACATTTTGACTATTCTCACCAAGTGACGTAGATACAGATATTTGGAAAACAAGCTATCAACGAGCCATCTGATGATCGCTGCTAGGAAACATTCATCGTTAAACAGTCGTGATCGATTCCCGAACAGTACATTTCATTTTCCCTTGTTACATTCTAATAAGCATTGTCAAGATGTCTACTCGTAGACGTAAAATCCAAGTACGGCATCTATCTGTAATGAACCATGCTGCGACCTCTCACATCTCCCAACTCATGTTCTATTACCTAGGACGACTCCAGGACATGTCTGGGTCGCTGACGGGACGCAGAAGTCAAAGGTCGTCCATCCACTCTAGTCTACTTCGCAGCAATTCGTTTGCAGGTTTTCGCGATGATATTCCATCGGATCCATTCATGGCGGTAAGTTTTTATCAATCACTTTATTACTTAAAGACAAGTAGACTGCATGAACATTAATGTAGCTTAAAGTATAACAATCAACCGAAAAATTTATCTGTGTAAAGCTAAAAATATAAAACCCCTTAAAACCTCAAAAAACTTTTACCGGCTTTCTATGGGTTAACGGAAAAAGTATTATATATGACGAAAATAAATAATAACAGAAATCGATGCTCAAGGAACCCAATTCAGACGTGCCTTCCTACGAGCCCTATTAAGCAAGCATGTACGGGTGCGTTAGGTAGTCAACTCACAAGTCGCTTTTATATTTATAGAGTTTATTTTAACTTGCAAATTCTCTTTACAGAAGTAATATTGGAAAGCTCACAATTTGAATTTCAATATAGTATTACGACATAGAACTATTAGCATACATAACAAATTATTTTTGGTGATTGGTACACTTTAACAAAATTACTGCTGGTTTTACAAATTGATATATATGTATCTCCCGAACGGTGCTTATCAAGCGTTTACCACTGAAGTCTCTGAGTGCTCAACGTGCGTGCTCAACGTTTGTGTTTATGCATGCATGTTGGTTTGCACAACTGGCTACAATTAATGTCAATAAATGTTTTACCCCTTGGCTGAAGAAAGCGTGTCTTCATGTACTTTTGGAGGGTTTATATTATCTCTGTGTATTTTTACAGTTTGGGTTTTCGAATCAGCCAGAGTTGTCTTTAGTCGAGTTACAAGCTTTGAGCTGGGAATATGCCTAAATAACTAAGGGAACTCAATAAATGTCAATAAATGTCAATAAATGTTTTACCCCACGGCTGAAGAAAACATGTCTTCATGTACTTTGGGAGGGTTTATATCATCTCTGTGTATTTCTACAGTTTGAGTCTGTAAATCAGCCCGAGTTGTTTTTAGCCGAATTACCAGCTTTGAGCTGGGAATATGCCCAAATAAGGCAACTCAACCAGGAGGTTTTATATTTTGACACTGCTCTGAGCATTAAAATGGATTCCACAGACTGGTTCTCAAAATATGATATTTTGATTATTGTGGACTGAACACACAAATGATTAGGACTATGGGAGCCAAATGAGTTGTGTGTGCCCTGTATTGGTGTCGTGGTTCATTCACTTGAGTCTCAGTTCGAGGGTCAATGGTTTGAATCCCATCCCGCACTAACCTCTATTGGTAATACAGTAATCCACATTTGCCACTCTCTACCCAGGTGTAGATTGGTACCTGGCAGTGCTGGGGACCTAGGGTCATAATAAGTGCATGTTATGTTTCTGCTTTCATAGAAATGAACTCATGACAAAAGTTGGACTGCCCTTTGATTTAATTTTAGCCTTATCTCTGTTTTGAGAGAATGGTAGATGCATACAGGTATGTGTCTCACTGAGTACTATGCTCTCACAAAATACACTTGTCATCAGGCACGTATGCATGGGTTGGGGGGGGGGGTTAAATCACCCCCCCCCCTACATATTTTTTTAGGAAAACATTTTTTATACCCCCCCCCCTGCCCCACTGAGCAAAATATCAGCTAGTGCGATATTCCAAATTTTTAAACACCCTCCTTGAAAAAAATCCTGCGTATGCCACTGCTTGTCATTATATGACTATCTTGACAAATACACACACTTAATGTTATATTTATAAACGATATACAGAGCAACAATGTGTTATCTGTAGAATGATCCTTCTCTGTGTTTAAATGTGTGCATTCTTCTTTTCTATGATCATGATGATGATGATGTCATACAGTATCATATTATCAATGTGATAATAGATGGAACATACTTGTTATGTGGTTGTCATGGTAACTAGAAAGGCTCTGTTCCATCTTATCTTCTCCCATCAGAGGAACATAATCCTGTAGGGTTTGATCTTTCACTGTGGTTTAGCATGTAAAGGAACTCAGGACTTGGCCTGGATTCAGACAATTTTTTTTTCTGGGAATTTCGGAATAAAACTGATGTTATGTGAGGGGGATAGAACATGGCGACAGTGATCAATGCAAGAGAGAGGATTGCGGTATGTTGCTGGTGAAGATAGCCTTCCACTTCACTAGAATATATCTATAATGTAGATCTGAACAAGCTACATTCATTTGAGAGGGATTTTCTCGAATTTGATTATGATGTTTTTGAAAAAGGAGATGTTTTGGAGGAGGATTCAGTGTAAGCATCCATGGCATCCTGATCCTCGGCAGTAAACAAGAACTGTCCGGAGATCGAACGCCTCTGATTTGGGACTAACACTGTGGAAATAGTGGATTATTTGTGGTCATAGACATTGAGGTGACTTACTTGTAACTAGTGATACAGGTCTGGTTATGATTGAGCACTGAGGAATTGTGTTTTATTGAGTTATGGCGGAGAATTTTTGTATAAGCCCTGAATCCTGTTCAGTAGGAAATCTCAGATGAAAGGCTTTAAGAATTCAGAAGATTTCCTCTACTAGAGACCTACTAGCGGAATATGAGACTATCAAACAGTTTCTATAAGTCTGGGTAGATATCTCAGCCTTTTATTTGTTGTTTAAGCTTGACTATACTCGCATTGAATAAGACTTGATGAGAAGATTCATAGGATTACCACCAGGGAATGACATGTCTTATGTGCACCATCTCCAGCTTGTGATCGTGGACGGTGATTGGGAGTATGTATGTGAAATGACGACGGAACCAGCTCGCTACAAGAAACACAATGTAAGCATATTGTAATAACTTTTGGGAATTCTTTTATAAGAAAATGGGGAATTTAAAGACTGCAGGGTAGATGTTTAGTCTAGCCTAAATTAATGCTCACGCAAGGCCAGGGCCAAGTCATACGCACATACAATTACAGTCTCTGAGAGAAAGGAGTTATCGAACAATGATTTTTAAGTAACTGATGTTTATTCACAAGAAACATGGTAGTGATATCCAATATATTTACTTGCCACAACCTAATAACAGTTACACTTAACTCACATTTATACTGGTTCTTGCCCCAAGTTGGCTTTGATGATGCTCCCTAGCAACATCCTCCCAGCTCCTAACTCTAAGTTCTAACAAAATCTGTCTCCTCAAAACATACCTCGGCCTCGACCTCAGCTACAAACTTTTACACACTCCCAAAAACCTTGCCCAAATTAAAGCTAGTCTCCAATTCAGACCTCCCTTTTTAATCGTTCGAGCATCCAATTTCTGTAACACTGCCCCCTCCTTAACTTTGAACGTCTCGTTCAACACTAGGAAATTCAAAACAGGAACCTGTCGGTAAAACAACAATAAAGATAACAAGAAATGTAAAATACTAAATCTAAAAATAACAACATCATTAAAAATGTGAAGCATGGAAAACACAGAATAGGAAAACCTGAAAGAAATCATCATAATTTCTAAAGTAGCACATTAGCATGGCACAGTCATTTATAAACATACATAAATTACCTTTGTTTCAGCCTCACAAAACAATTCTTAGGTTGTGGCGAATGCATACATAAAAGCACTTGCAAAATGAGACAAAGCATGCAGCATATGCATCTTACCTGATATCATTGATCGTAAATTTCAAATATCAATACAATAAACTGGACTTCAACTCTCAGTATACCAGAACAAAATACATCATACGTGAATATAATTGTTGTTCCACATCAGTCTGGTGACTCTGGTCAACATGTTCAGCCTGTTGCACACTTAAGTAATAATCACTTTAGAACAAAAAAACTGGATATAAACAAAAACACTTTTTTTTTTTTTTCTTTTCAATATCACCTTTAAATATGGCAAAAGTTAAAGGTTATTCTGGTATAACCATCAAGTTTGGTATTCGTCCTCTTTGGTAACAACAAATGGGATATCTCGGTTCATTTTAAACTGGTTTGGTTAGCAAAATTAGAGTTGCCAACAACACATAAGTACAACCCTGGAAAAAAAAACATAACAATACTCTGAATTTATATGCCAAAGCGGAAACGCTCATTTCAACTGCCAATATAGAAGAATTTATACAAAACAAAATTGTTTTTACAAAATAACCTGATCTTGTAAAAACATGATCATGCATGATCTCAAATAGATTTCAAAATGACTTTAAGTCATTAGAAGAAAAAAAAGGCAAAGCGTCCATTTGCTATTATCTGTTATTACAGAACGGCACAAATCAATTTCCACATTTCGAGTTCAGATGAGTTAATCGCTCATCTGTGATTACACCTAATGCGAGAAAGCCACTTCAGTTTTCTCATTCTTTCTACTCTCTTTGATACATCATAGTAATGTGATTCCTACAAATCCTCCTGTATAAGAACACTTAACAATATTTGTGTTTCTCTTCACAAGTTCGATATCGAGGAATGCTAATAACACCAAAATGTTGGTCCCTCAGTTCTACATTCAACTGGTTCATTCGTAAAGTTCAGCAGCACAATGGAATAAGTGTTTGACTCCTTAAGTTCATTTGCGTCTCCAAAGTTGCTTCAGCTAAATGAAGTCCTGTCACCAATTATTTGTTCCTCTGATCAATGCAATAGATGAAATTCCACTTATAGTCCATGCAAGTGTTCACTATAAAAGTTTTCAAAGTTTGATGGATTTCGTAAGGCTGCATAAAATTGCATGGCATTATCAAAATTGTTCACCATTATAAACACGAACCGCGTTGCCATGGAGACCAGATACGCTCATCCGACACGTGTTGCCATGGAGACCAGATTTGCTCATCCGACACGTGTTGCCATAGAGACCAGATACGCTCATCCGACACGCGTTGCCATGGAGACCAGATTCGCTCATCCAACACGCGTGAAGATACTTTGGGACGGCATCCCGGCGTCTTGCGGTACTGGCATCTCGCGTCCTGGCTTGAAGCTTCCTCGGTAAGGTACCTCACTATCTGCTCGTCAGGCCTCAGCTACGTGATGGAGAAAATCTGCCATCCAATTCTGGCTTCCAAGTAGATATTTCTGCAACAAAATAACATCTTTTGCAGAAAAAGGTGTACCAGAGTGGTACAACCATATATGCGTATATTAGGTATACACATGCAGAAAATTGGCTTTCATATAAATAGCCGTAACAAGAGAAAATGCAACTAACTAGGTCGTA